TTAAAAGCGGCGGGGTGAGAATTCCGACTCGGCCAGTGGTGCCTTCGACGTTGTTCACGTTCCGAATACATAACGTAAACACAACAAGCGACCGCGTTGCGTAAGGATATTCTACAGACGTGCGAGAGGACATCACCTGAAGGAGTATCCGCAGAGACTCGGAGAGACGAACACGGGTTAACTGCAGTCTCCGTACCCCACGTCTCTAATCAGCTTCGACAGCTGCCGGGGGAGCAAGGAAGAGCACTCGATATCGCACGAGCGCGCGATCTCACTCGCACGTGAAGTGCGAAAAAACTGTCGGACTGTAGAGGCTCCGCACTTGATACCGCGCCACATAATTACCGCAGAACGGAAAACGCGAGTGTGTGGGTTAGCGTGGCAAAGGAAGAGAAAGAGAAGGGAGCCGGCGGGGAGAGAGACCTGGAGTGGGAAACGACGGTAACCATAGACGGGCGAAGGGGCGAGGAAGAGAGCAGGGCAGGGTAGAGCGAGAGAGGGCAGGGCCGAAATAATCGAAACGATGGAAGAACGACGATAGCCGGAGAGACCAAGGATAAAGGCTAGCGCGGAGTTTTATTTTAACCTGCCGGCTGTGGCGGAACGAGGTGGATTTAACTCGATCGAATTAAGCACTTAGGCTCTCGATTTATAGACGATCTGTATAATTCACGGGGGAATTCGGAGCAAAATTCTATTTGCACGGGGAGATATCCGAGGAATCGGCATTACACTCGTAGACGTGTATGCGTGCGTGTCGGTGAATCCTCGAATGCTCCACCCCCGTGCGTTACGGATAAAATTCCATCAGGAAATTCCGTCGTGAAACGGGGGCGTCGCACGACTGCGGAAGTCGGATATCAGCCAAGTGAGAGGGAGGGAGGGAGGGAGGGAGGGAGGGAGGGAGGGAGGGAGAGAGAAGAGAAGGGGCGCGCGATAAGCCCGGAAAAATTCAGGGAAAACCGCGCGTGGAAGGCGGACCGCAGGATATCCGCGAGATCAGCCACGAATGATACAAGAAACCGCCGCGGCGCCGCTCAGGAGAGGAGCACGAGATGGCTACTGTTGCGCGAGTGGATGGAAACTGATTCGTCCTGTCAAGATCGAGCGAAAGAAAGGCCAAGTTCGTCGAAGGCCTCGCGAGAGGAGGCCCGCTTCAAAAATATGACGCACATCGGCGTGACCGAGTCGTCTGAGTTGATTCGCGCGAATATGAAAAATAGCCAACGCTAAAAAAAATATGATCCTTCAGATGCGAAAGAACCCGTTGCAAATGAACAGATGTCCGTGCACAGGAAAATGTAAATATTGCGTTGAGGCGCATGTACGTTTCCGCAGTATGTATTTCGGCAGTTTACGTCATCGGCGAATCTGACGCAAATTCATCACAAGCGTCAAATTTACTCAAGATGCGTTCTGGATCTCCGGCAGCAGGATTGCTGCTTCAATCGGAATGCAATAAAAATGTTGGCTTGAGATGAAAGTTTCATCTTTCCGGGAACACGATGATGAACTTTTCCCGAGCTTCTCCCCGATGACTGTACTTGATGAGGACTATTATCAAGAAAAGATATTTTACTTGTTGAGGTAATCGTTACTTGAAAGAAAAAGAAAAATGAGTAATAGCTCTCCTCAGCGATAGAATATTTTTCACCGATGTGAACCCGGCAAGCAACTTGATAAAAACAAATTCGCAATACGGTTCGATTGTACTTCATTTGTACCTGTTTGTGCCACTTTTTGTTTCATTTCTACCTCGAAAGGTAAAAAGATAAGATTGGGTTAGGGAGGGGGAAAAATAGCCAGCAAGCAAGTATAAGATATCGCAAAACGGCCAACGAGTCATTCGAGAGAGAATCGTTTGTACCCGTTTGTACTTCTCTTCAAATCGTTTGTACCGCAAAGGAACCGGAACTACAAGATCTCCAAAATATGTCAGAAGATTATTTTCGTACTTCCGGTCCCTTTGAGGTACAAACGATTTGAAGGAAGATACAAACGGATACAAACGATTCTTTTTCGAGTGGCATTGGCCGTTTTGCGATATCTCAAAAATTGGCGAAAGTACCTGTTGGATGATTTTTGAAAATTCTGTACTTCCGGTTCCTTTAAGGTACAAATGCTTTGAAGAGAAGTACAAACGATTCTCTTTCGAATGACGTTGGCCGTTTTCGGATATCTTATACTTGCTTGCTGGCTATTTTTCCCTCTATCTTTTTATTCTTTGAGGTACAAACGAAACAAAAAGCCGTACAAACAGGTACAAACGAAATACAATCGTATTGAGAATCTTTCTTTTTTACATCAAGTTGTTTGCCAGCTTCACATCGGTATATTTTTCTCTGTACGGGAGAAAAAGTTTAATTAAATTAACGCGACACACACGAACAAACGCATTTCTTCTTAAGGGAGCGAAATACCCAGCACCCACGAATCAAATTCAGTTTTAAGAATCGAAAATTTCGTCTCCTCCGATTGAAATGCGTTCGGTTCGTTCACTGTCGTGTCAATTTAACGTTTTTCTCCGTGTCACTACAATCTCGTATATCGGAGGGATTGTAATCAGTATTGTTTCCGCCGAAAGTATCACTACTATAGCGTTGATCAGTGCAAAATAATGCAACAATGACCTTATTATACGCATATTTTTTATCGGAAACACAAGACGCAGTCCGTGCCATTGGAAATAATTTTGGCGGCACTGGCTGTTTCTTCTTCCAGAATATGCGCTCGCCAGCAAATTTTGGCAGATCCGGCATTGTTCTTATCGGCATACATCAAGTCGACCCAGCGTTATTTGCACGCATCGCCTCGCGTCGGAAGAGATATATGGTGTGTTTCTCCGCGAATTAAATACACGCGCGTGTATGCTACCGTCTCCCTCTCTCTCTCTCTCCCTCTCTCTTTCTTCTTCTATCTCGGCATGCGTAAGCAGTGTGTATTTCTGCGTCTCGCTATTTGGCTCACGCACGTTCGCGTGCGTACACGTGCACTCGCCGACGATTAAACGCTGGCGCGAGTGCACGCGCACTTGATTACACACAGGTGGTTCGTGACGATCCAGCGTTACCTGGCCGACCTGGCCGCCCTTAGAAGGGCGCGCGATCGATCGCCGAAGGTCCCGTGCGCGCTTCGATCACAGCCGCACCTGGGGACCTTCGTGAAAGAGAAATGACGGATGGCGAAGTCGTAAATCTCGTCGGACGTTATCGCGTACGGCACGTACGAAATCGCGATAAGTGCGAGCCGCGAAATACACTCGCGGGTGTCGTGAGAGTGGGCGGACGCCTTTGCACGAGGCGTCGATGGCGATGTTGACCGAATATTTGTCCAACCACTGATTCGCCACTGATACTATCCCGGGGAGACCCGGAATAAAAATCACGTTTTGATGAGATATCGTACGTTTCGCTCGCATATGTTGTGTTCTCTTCGTCAATACGCGCGCAAATGCGAGGTCGGCGAAGAGAAGAAGCAGCTCTGCGCGATATATCATATTTTACTCGTGTGTGCGCAATTTGATGCGATAAAATTGAATTCTTTTGCAAAATATCTGCTTCTTCGTCGGTCTCGTCTCAGTACTGTCATGCTCAAGATGAGCCGAAGAATAAAACAGAAGAAACAACGGCTAAAGATACTCGAGGATCTGGGCAATATTAACCGAGTATTTTTACAGCCAGATTACTCAAACACTCCAAACTCAAGGATACTCTATCCGGGCACACGAGATAAAAAACTTCCTTCAGCGAGAGTTCTTCTTCGCATATTATATTCTCCTCATCAATCTGCGTGCAAAAGTGTCGAAATAAAGTCAATGAAAAGGAAGATACTTGACCAGGTACTTTCACATTTTTACATAATATCTATACCCAAAATACTAAGTTAAAAAAAAAAGGTAAAATATTCCGTGAAGTACCTAGACTTTTTTCTTCACCTCACCATAATACCATCGTACTTAGAATGATCCGAAGAATAAAGAAGAAGACAGAACGATAAGACTAAAGAGAGCTAGACGCTCATCAGCAGCATATCGACTGCTCGAGTCGTCGAACTCGGACAATTCCTTCATGTTTCTCGACACTTATCGCACCGACTGCAACAAAACATCAACGCCTCTCGATAGCTTCGGAGGGTTCGATTAATCGTCGAACATAAAGCAAACAAATTATCAGATTATCAATCAGATAACGAGTGGCCCACGGAATGCGCGCCGCTTCTCACGGAATGTCCGCTTCGGCCGCTCGGTACGCGCGGAAAATCGCTCCTCACGAGAGGAAACAACGCCGGGGAACTACGCGAAACGTGAAGCGTCGTGTCACGATGGTCCGATGGCCAAGGTCAGCTGCTTTCCGCAAGAATAGTCGCGCACAGTCGTCGCACCGAGCGAGGCTCAATTAAAGGCAAGGAGCAACTCGTCGCCTCGACAACGGATCGAGGCGATGACGGAGTTGTTGTTGTTGTCCGTCGTCGTCGTCGTCGTCGTCGACGACTCTCCGCCTTAATCCGGCCCGAGAACGCGACGCTGAATGCGAGGCCGAAACGCGCCTGTTGTACGACGGCGTCGGCTAATCAGCATTTAAGTGCCGTAAACTGTGTCTCGCGCAGCGATCTAGCTTGCAAATTAACGCTCTCCGCGCACCGCGTCGTCAGCCGCGGCCCCTGACGAAACATTATTAACACGGCCGATTATCACAGCGGCCGGTGATGCCGACATGATCGCGTGCAAATCGCCGCCGCCCGCCAAACTGTCGCAACTTTTTCCGCGCGATCCGCCGATCGCGCGGTCGCGCGAACGTTACCGTTAAACACGCCGCGTCATGTCCGTTTGCGGCCGGCCGCGCGCGTTTGCGTCGAGACGCCCGAGACGAAGGAAGAATACAGACACGGGGGAGCTTTCTGAAAATATCGACGCACTGGTCGTTGAATCTCGCCTCTAGTCTCGGCCTGCTTTCTTCCATCCGCCAAGTGCAAAAACTCGCGCGCGCGCGTCTGCTACTCACAATGGACCAGCTGTTTTCGCGCGGCCGCTCCTGGCCGCACGCGACTACGGACTGCGCGTCATCGATCCCGACGTCTTTGGACGCGCGATCGCGAGTTATCCGCCACGGCAGACGGCCGGCGTTTTTCATTTGATTCTTCCTTCTTCCTTCCGCGGCGCCCGCCGGCAGCGCGATGCGCTTGCCACTCGACAAACATATACGTCAGGCCGGTACCAAGCAAATATTAATCAGCATCGTCGTATCACGGCGACGGCGAGATAAGTGCGATCGCGTTCGGCTGCAAAAACCGTCACGTAAACGCTTGCTAAGCGGCGGAAAACGTGACCGCGACGCGTGTCGTCGCGGTCGCGAAAAACGCCGGCTCGCGAGGGTGTCCGTTTTTGATCGCTCCTCTGCAACTCCGTCGCGTGTCGACACGTCGTCGTCGACCGAAAATCGCCGCAAGTCAGCGTCTTTAGCGACACCCGCGATACTCGCGAGACACCGCTGCGAACCAACGGCGAAACTCCCGCCGGCCTGCCGTTCAGGTTTCGTTCCGCGAGAGGGATATTAACATTCACCTTCGTTCGCCCCGTCAATCATCTCGCGCGCTGTCGCTTTATCTTGCGAATGCTCGCTCTCTCTCTCTCTCTCTCTCTCTCTCTCCCCCTCCCTCGCTTTATCTATACTCTTTTTTGCCCGATCAATGTGTATTTACTCGCGTTCTCGTAGCATCGTATCGTGTTTGCCTAACGATTGTCTGAATTTCTGTTCATATTGATGTTACGACGACGTGGCTGTAAAGCGCAATAAATCGATGTTCCGTCCCAATTTTTCGAAAATTTTCCTACCTCCCCCGTGCGTGTTTGCAGAGCGATCGCATCGTCGAGAATCAGATTGAACGTAAATAACGAACAGTGACGAAGGCGTTATCGGAGTGCAATCTTGTATACGAAACAGTCGGCAGGTCAACGCACGATTTCAATAGTATCTGCAAACGGAGGCCGCGAAACGCAGCGGCTTATCAGATAACGACGCGCCGTTATTATCGAGTATTCGGCGGCAGCTGTCAAGTGTTATGTCACACGGTAAATATTTTAGTACTTTTCACATCGAATAAATATTTGGGTGGCTCTCCTAAAATGTGCAGCAACCGTCCAGCGGACTCTGCTGCATCGCTCTCCCCCTGCAGTCGAGCGCCGTGCGAATGAAAAAAGAACAAGCGATAAAGCGTGTTTGCGCGACTTAATAGACAACGAGAACACCGATTCGTGTAAACACATGCACACGCATGCAGAGAAACGCTTCTCTCGGGCGCGCTGAAAAGAGACAAGATTCGGTCGTCGATCGAGAAATCGAACGCGGATTCCGTGACTCTGAGCCGGCCGAGAGAAAAACGAGAATGACTTATGTTACCGTTGTGTCAACATGAGCAATCGAAGTCAGAACGGGACACGGTCCGTTCCCTGCCGAGGAACTTTCTGGATGTCCACCCAGACAGTACATATTCTCCTGGGGACGTCCTGAGAATGAAGAAACATCCCCAGGACGTCCTCCTCTGGACATCTACGCTGTTAGGGCACTTATCGGCGAGAAGTTGGAGCGAAACGAAATATCGCGAAACGTGTCTCGCTCCGACTCTCGTTGCAACAGGAAGTTCCTCGAAGCGAGAGCAGAAACCTGCAACGTGTCCGTCTCACGAAGACGCAACGACGAAAAAATGCTTGACGATGCTTAGTCAACCGAGCTATGCGCGCGCGCGCGCGCGAGAGGCGTGGATAAAAATAATCTGATAATGAGAGGAATTCTCTCGCCTGGCGAGAGGAAGGGGGCGGTTGTTTGGAAAGTTTAATAGAATAACGAACGTGTGTGTGTGTGAAGAAGAATAAAGATCGCGAGGTATGTGAACGCCAGAGCATCTCTGGGAGAAGACGCATGGCGCGAGAACAGCGAGACAATAAAGCGAGCCGCGAGAGAGATTCGACAGATAAGACTCGGCGCGATTCAGAATCACGTTATCCGTGCAACTTAAACGTAAGATCGCGCCTGTGACGCAACGAAAATCGTAAAGAAAAACAATAATGGTACCTGTGAATTAGGCGTCGCCATACCTTGTTATAGCACTGGGCAATTCGACCTTGACAGGTAGTCTTAGCTTATGCATTTTACTTTATACGTGCACGCACTACTGTGTGTCGTTTACGGTACGGTCTCTCTTCTGCTTCTCTCTCTCTCTCTCTCTCTCTCTCTCTCTTCTCTCGTCCTCTCTTTCCCTCTCTCGTACACCGATGTGTGTACACAGAGATACACGCGACGAGATGCACGGCTATGTGCGGGACGACGTAACGGGAAACATAACCAATAAAATGTGCATCCGAATGCAACCGCTTTCTTAAAGGAGGGAGATAAGAAAGATCAAGATGAGTGAGTGAGTGAGAGAGAGTGTGTGAGAGAGAGAGAGAGAGAGAGAGAGAGAGAGAGAGAGAGAGAGAGAGAGAGAGAGAGAGAGAGAGAGAGAGCGAGTGAGCGAGCGAGCGAGCGAGCGAGCGAGAGAAAGAGAGTGAGAGAGGAAGAAAGAACGAGCGGAGCAAAGTACAGAGCAAAAGAGAGGCGCAAGAAAGGAGGAAAGGAGGAGAGAAAGAGTAAGCGAGAAGGACAGAGAGAAACAGAGAGAATGAGGGAGGGAAAGAGAGAGAGAGAGAGAGAGAGAGACGAGAGGTCCAAAAACACTTATCAAACCACACGACGAAACTAACCAACTATATAACGGAGGAGCGGGGGAGGGAGTTGGCAGTCTAGTGAGTGATTTTACATGGACACTGGACGGCATACGACTCCTCTTCGGTCGCGCGTTCGTCTCTCGGCGGCGGACCCTCGAGACTAGATCTACGACGCAAACTCATTACACGCGACACAGTGAAACACACGCACGCGACGCGACACAACGCGACTCGACACCGCACGATTTCGCGATGCACTCTCTTCGCTCCGCTCCGTTCCCGTTCCGTGTGTCACTCGCGGACGACGCCGCCACTGCTGGCGAGCCGTGTTTGTTGCGTGTGCCCGTGTCCACTGTCCGTCCAGCCGCACGCCTGCACGCCTGCACGCACGCACGCACGCACGTTTCTCCGTCCACATTCACCCGTTCGTTCGTTCGTTCGCACCGCCGTCGTGCGCACTGCCTTGCGCGCAGGACGCGCGCACGCTCCGCCGTGGTTTGAGCGCTTCCACGAGAGCAGCGACGTTGCGAGCGGAAACAACGCGACGAGCGAGGATGGCGGTGGCGGCGCATCCAGCGCTGCGCGTCACTCGGCTGAAACAAGCGAGCTGAAAACCGAAGGCGCGACGTTCAGGGCTGCGTTCGCGAAAACGCCACTCGGGTACATCTGCTACGTTGGTGTGAGAGAGACATAAAAATGAGATAAAGGAAGAAAGAGAATACCCGAGTGACGTTTCCGAACGCAGCTTAGAAAAGAGAAAGGGCAAGAGCACAGGCTTGTGCATAACGCATAATATATAACACCTAAGAGAATAAAGCAATTAGTTTTCTTCATAGACATAGGACAAGAGCACAGGCTTTTGCATAACGCATAATACATAACGCATAAGAGAATAAACTAATTAGTTTTCTTCATTTCCCTCCTCAGGACAGAAATGAAGAACTCTGATTGGTTGATTCTCTTATGCATTGTATATTATGCGTTATGCAGAAGTCTGTGCTCTGGCCCATAGTATATCTAGACTCCTCGTGTTCGAGGAATGGAGATGTAATTCTCGGAGAGAAGGAAGCATTCTGTTTTTACTATTCGTTCTCTCTCGCACAGTCCCGATGGGAGAGGTATAGGGGAGGCAGTTGCTGTACAGTAACCATCGCTCCCATTCCCCTTCCACCAGGACTGTGCGAGAGAGAACGAACAGTAAAAACAGAGTGTTTCCTTTTCTCCGAGAGTTGTACCTCCACTCTTGAAATTTGGGTGAACGCGCAGTCTAGTCTATACTATGTCTATGGTTTTCTTCATTTCCCTCCTCAGGATAGAAAGAACTCTGATTGGTTGATTCTTTTATGCGTTGTGTATTATGCGTTATGCAGAAGTCTGTGCTCTGGCCCAAAGCATGCACTGAATCGCGTGTCAAAAGCAGACTTCCGGCTGTGACTTCATTTGAGAAAGTGCGTACTTACGGCATGTACTTTCGGCACCGCTCAGTATGCGCGCTCCGAACGCGTCTCGTCGTGGGACGCAAGAGCCATCTGACGGTGGCCGTGAAACGCTCGCGATACCGACCGAATTCGCCCGCGAAACTTTGAATCGCCGCGCGCCTCGATCCGAATCGTGCCGAATGAAACGGTCGATTCTGTAAACGCCGATCAGCGCTGATTTACCGAGACGCCTGATTCCGACGACGCCGATCAATGGTGTGATTCGCAAAATTGCAAGTCGTTGTCTCTACGTTACAGGAAGTGCGTGTACCGGGTGCTAATGTAAGAAGAAATGCGAGGTCTTGAGGTCTTACTGCGGAGGTTGATCAACGACTCCTTATGTGTGACAGGAACTGAAAATCACGATCACACAAAGATAATGTGAGAATGGTCGAATCGTGATCGGGAAGCGAGTCTTTACGGTCATTTCCCGTCGTTCCCGACGTGGTTTCCCGTTGGGCGACGTCGGAATCAGGTGTCTCGACGAGTTTACCTTGTCGTCGATCGGCGTTTACGTCGCGACAAGCACCGCATTCGGAAAGAAGCGGGTAATGCCACGGCGATGGCGATCGACCCTTGTATCGAATCACTCGTTTTGTTCCTTTTCGCCAAAGGGAGGAGGCAAGACGGCGCGACTCGCCGATGGCTCCGTCTCGGCGCGTCGTCGAACTCGCGTGTTACGTGCGTGTTACGTACAAGAATGAGATGAGAGAGCAATGAGAGATGGTATACGAAACATAGCGATGAAAAGACTGCTTTATTCAAAGCGGATGAGATACATCACTGACGTTCTGCTTATCATGCCGTCCGCAAATCGTAATCCGCTTGGAAGTACGAACGCGGCCATGACATACGATCTGATCCTTGCCTTCGTGCGATGATCGGATAACGCGTAATGTAACTGTAATAACAAAGTAATGGACAACATGATAAATAACTGATGACAGTCAATACTGCTCACACACGCGACGGAGATGCGGCGGCGCATCTCTCACTACCACACACCAAGCGAGAACAGCAAGCGTGCGAGGAGCAACGCAGGAGGAGGCTGCGACTACAGAAATAATCAGCGAGAACATGTCGAACGTGTTATCGTCGTGCGTGCGTGCGTGCGTGCGTGCGTATGTGTGTGTGTGTGTGTGTTTGTATACATATAAACAACTGAATCATCGTTCAGTCCTCTTCGTCACGGACCCGAGTCGTTTAATCCGATGACTGAAAGCGGGGTAATGAAATTAGCCGGCCGACGAGACCGCTCGTCGGTGGCTAGTCTCTTCCGCGAATGCCAGCCAATTAAAAGGAACGAACGAAGCCCAGGTGAAGGTGACGTAGCGCACCTTCTCTACCTGAGCCTGAGCACACGAAAGCGGATCTCTCTAGTCAGCGGCAGTCGACAACGCTATCAACAACAGCTGATCGTGTTAACTATAGCATGTCCGTCTGCTCGAAATGTTACGTAGGCTGAAAATAGGCGAAGCCGAGGGTAGCAAGCGGGTGGAGGAACACATATGGCCCTCTCGAGGTCATCAAGCGGGTCAACACGAGGGGAAGGGGAGAGAAAACGGGGACGATCGTAGTCTTACCTAAGCAACGCTTTCCTCCAGCAGTAGTCCGTCTCGATAACGAACAGCTGCAATTTCATCATATACGTGGACGTGGCCCAAGGCATACAAACGACTCGTATACGCCTGAAGGCTGGCCGCCTCCCGGCGAAGGCTCTGCTCCTGCTACCGCTACTCCACCACCTTGTCTTCCTCCGCGTGGAGAACGCGATTCCGCTGTTATCCGGGTGATCGTGATTAGCTGCGAGCGACCCAATTATTGTATCGCGCGGGGCCCGTACTATCGATCAATCGACACGAAACGCACGGAACTCAGACGAAGCTCTCTTTCTCCTCTTTATTCCTCTTTCTCTCACCCTGTGTCTCTCCGCAGCTGTGAGATGGATCTCAAGCCGGAGGAAGATCTCTCTCCCTCTCTCTCTCTCTCTCTCTCTCTCTCTCTCTCTCTCTCTCTCTCTCTCTCTCTCTCTCTCTCTCTCTCTCTCTCTCTCTCTCTCTCTAGGAAAAGTGCACGAGATGAGTCGCACTGCGCGGCTGCCGAGGGAGGCGACGCGCTAAACCGTGGAGTCGCTCGCTTCAAGGACGAGAGAGGAAGCGAAAGTGGAAGCGCACGTTGATGGGATCTTCTTCAATCGCAAGGGGACGGTTCCCTGTGCATCTTCGTGGTGCGGATCAAACTCTTCTTGAAAGTTCATCGCATGTCTCTGTCTTTAATTCCCTCTCCCTTACTTTCTCTCTCTCTCTCTCTCTCTCTCTTTCTTTCGTTCTTTCTTTCTCCTTCTCTCTCTTCTTTCCTGCTTCACTTTTAGCGTACCAAAACTCGGGCAGTGATGAAAAGAGGACGCCGTCAAAGCCTATTTTTCCACCTATCTGCCTGCTTGCTCTCCTACCCGCTGACGACGTGCTTCTCCGACGCGAACGCGTCGCGACGCCCGACAGGGTCCTCTTGCGAAAGCGCACGCGCCTCCTCATGGATCGCCACCCTCTGTCACGGACTTGCGTTACGGCCGGCTGCTAACGGTGACGTCACGCCGGGGCTGCCGATTCATTCACGAATATTCGTCTCACAGGGCTGATCCCGAAGGCACCAGCATCCGGCGGCGCACACGTGCGAGACGAGAGTCCTTTAAGCAACTCCTTTTGAACTGGGAGAAATCTTGAGCCAAGATTACACTATACTTCTCTCTCTCTCTCTCTCTCTCTCTCTCTCTCTCTCTCTCTCTCTCTCTCTCTCTCTCTCTCTCTCTCTGAGAGCAGAAAAATAAAGTTTGGGAGTAGAAGCAAGATCTACGAACGTAGTACGACGAAATTAGAAGTTACCGTTGCGTCCTTCCGCCTACACGAGTTCCCACTATAATGCATACGTAACGAGAGAGTATGACTGTTGAGGTCAAGTCAAATATAGCGCTGAATGAAACGGTGGAAGCAGAAAAATAGACCGACCCAACTGGACATTACGACGTAATTCTCGTTGCAACCGAAATAAACGTGACACTTCCGATATCACTTTGTACGATATCACCTTGTTCATATTTCTTTTGAATTTCAAAGCATTCGAGAGGCGACGCTTATCTTGAGAGACAACTCTGTTGTCGCGCGAGTATAAGGCCAAGGACCCTCGTAAAGCGAGTACCTGCGCATGAAGAGTTGCATCATCAAAAATTGAAGTTAATAGTCTCGCGAAAGAGTTTCAACGAACGTAACGCAGTGGTTCTCAAAGACCGATCGGTTAACAGATTATATAGTAGCATAGTTTTCTTTTTGTTGTCTCCATTATACTTACTTTGTATTTCTTTTTTCATTTATATTCGTTTCATCTTCGAGCGAAAAGTTAGTTTGCGATATCGCTAGTCTGTAATTTTGGGCTGTAACATATTATTTATGTATACGTTATTTTAGTTGCATTTCATTTTTTTGGCATACCTGCTTTATGTTATCAATCACACATTTTGTATTTGTCGGGATACGATTATCGAACCATCGAAGCATCATCTAATGGTATCATAGAAAAACTTGTTACATCTAATGGATTAAATTCTCGGCTAAGTAGAATCTGGGTCTTGATTAAAATAACTCATTAGCTTATCGACTTAGTTTCAGTGTGTCTGTTGTGTTGTGAATCACTATAGATCTTTCTGACAAATTAAAAAGTGATATTATAATTCAATCAGTTGGACAAGTGGATAGACTCAGTGGCGGATCAGTCGGATCTTTCTTCAAGTAGTATAATTCAACGGCGGACTAGACTAATCTTTATTTTCAAATAAATGTTTTTTAAATACGTATGTATCGCCCAAAGCCGTCGGTAGTTATCAATCGAAGCTGAAACTTTGCCCTAGAGATTTCATACGTTAAATTTCGCATAAAAAATTTGTGTAACGAAAAATATACAAAATTCCTTTTTTCTTCCTATTTATTGAAAACATTTATACAGAAAACTGTACAAAGTACAATTTTCTCGATTGATCGTTGATACAAATCATTAAAATTTACATCGTCAAAATTTATTCATTTGGGATTCCATGAGCATCCGATATGAGAACGATATCATACTCCACTTTTAGAAACTTTGAAGTATCCTGCGTTATCGCAAATATATTTCGAAATATTAAGCCACTCTCCGATTGGTAAAATAAAGACGGAACACACCAAAGGCAAATTGCTTTAGAAAGCACGAACCAATCGAACGAGCTGTCTTATGCACTCGCCTTGTCTGGCTATGCTACCTTATTTTAACCACCTATAACAATCTATATCTGCCAGTTCTAACCTGCAGGCCTGCTAGTAAACATAACAATTCAAGACTTGTGTCGTCAAGGGCAATATACTAATTAATCTTAGCGTTATTAGGCGTACATAGTTAGAATTACAATGGTAAGTCCTCGATGCACTCTCGATGCTTTATTCGTTTTACCACGACTGAATGGTGCTACGAGTCGACTAACCTCTAAAGACATTTCCGATGTTTTAATTTTTAGGATGTATTTTTAATGATCAGGCGAAAAAATATGACGATATTTACCGATGCAAAGGACGACACCACGGTTCTCGAACTGAAGAAAATGATTGAAGGTGAGGATACGTTTATTTTTAGGAATAGTGAGAGAGTAATTATCTGCCTATCTAACATGTTTCTTGGTGACTTATGATTAAACTACTAAAGAGGACAAAGAGATAATTCTTAATTTACGTAGGTATACTCAAAGTACCTCCTGTAAATCAACAACTATTTAACAAGGACAACGTTGTAATGAGTGACAGCAAATTTTTATCTGATTATGGACTAACGTCATTAACGGCAAAGGCACAGTGTCCTGCGTTAGTGGGCTTAGCTCTGCGTCAAGATAATGGCCAGTTTGAACCTCTTGAAATGACGCCATTCTCATTACCACCGGATCTTCCCGATGTGATGAAATCACAAGAAGCTAACGGCCAAGAGCAGTCACCTTGAAATGACATGAATGATATCGCATCAGTCGACGACAAAGTGTTGTGTTCCATGCAATCTAGTAATTTGTCAAAGCAGCTCAGAATGGTAAAACAAAAAAAAAATGAGGAAATCTACACAGGTATCATGTGAACATTAGATACTTACTACTTCATACGCAGATACTGAGTCTCAAAACTTTTCCAACACCTTTATCGAAGATATGTAGTCATGTGATCTTCAGTTTTATAAAAGTGAGTGGGCAAGTACCAATTTGTACTTGAATATTATTAGACTGAAGGTGATAATAAAACTAAAATCATATGCTTATGAAATCATGTATTAAACCAAATTATATTATAGCAATGAATATATATAAGTGTTTTGTTATGGTCAGGATGATAATAAATACCTCAGATTATATTTAATTTATGTTTATAGCTTAAATGTTAGTTCAAAATATTTTGCTATATTTCAAATCAAATATCATTTGCACATATACATGTATACACGTGTATGTCACCTATTTAACTTTATTTAACCTTCATACAACTATATACTTGTATTATCAAATTGCTGAGTCTTGTGGCATAGATATTACACAATGTCATTAAATCATGAATTTTATAATTACAACATAAAATCTAAAGGAAAGAGTGTGATAAATTATAAATATTATGTCCATTCTCTGTTCTTTCCCTCTTAATCATAACAGTCTAGTTTGGAGTAAAAGCTACAGGCTACTGACTGATAATCATAATCATTATAAATGTAAAATAGAATGCTCTAAGTAATAATTTTTAATTCTACAGTTTTGTATTTAACTAAGTTATACTATCTCACAATATTATTAGCCGATCAATTAAGTGTATATTTCTTAAAACTTGTAATAACCTAACCAATATCACGTTATGGCAGCAAGAAAAAATATATATTATACAAGATTTACATATCCCTATTTAATATTTAAAAAGAAGTTGGTTTTCTTTTTGATTTTTTTATTATTTTATATATACTAGCATTTAAGATTTTTCTCTATAACAGAATACTGATTTGAGTACAAAAATCTTTGTTAACTTTACCTAACCCAACAAGAAAATTATTATTTATTTAGATTTTTATTTTCCAGCATTTTCATTATGAAATTTCTATAAATATCTTTCTTACTTGGTATATAATGACCACCTTCATGGCATATTTCCTCCTTGTCTATGAAAAGACGACTAATTTGTCCTGCCATCTCTGTAAGAAATAATCTTTTATATAATTGAATGCATCTTATTATTTCATACCTTTCCTAATTAATAAGAATAAATATATAATATAATTCTACCTGTAGGAATGACTTGATCATTCTCTCCGTAAATATGCAATGATGGTATATCTATCTCTTCATTATAATATATTGAATGAGGTGCACATAGCGACTTGAAGCCAGATATGATGATAGCAAAGTTGAATTCAATTTCTAGTACTTCAAAAAAATTTGTATATTCATAAGTTGTTGATTGTATATAATAGATTTCTATAGAAATTTCTATATATCACTTTATGAATAACTTACATTGCTTTTTCTTCATAACGCATAGTATACTGACAAAAGCAGCACCTTGTGAGAAGCCTAATATGCCGTCAAAAGGACCCTGTTCCAAAAATGTCTCTTTTACTAAATTTATACTATCAGTAAATCCTACACATAAATCACTAGGTGTTGTTGCTTTAAAACAATGGTCTTCTGTGTTAAACCACCATCCGTATCCTATAATACATAGAAGCATTGTATCATTTAACAGTATAATATTCCAAGGATAGCATTTTTTTTACAATTTACCTTCTCCATTGGTCGATGAAACCTTGTGTGGTGCTTTTATGAATGTAAAGTCTATTTCTTTTTTAAATCCTTTTCTCAATGAGCCTAGTTTAGCACTAAATATCACATCTGACTGTGTATATCCATGTAATGCTAATATCTAAAACATGTGTTTTATATACTGTACATATTTCTGAAATATTATATCATCTGTCTGAATATTGTGCCAATATTTTTAAAATATTGAAGAGTCAAATTTGCTCATAATAATCAATATGTTAGTAATAATCAATAATCATAATGTTAAGGAATACATATTAGGAAACATAACACATACACGAATATTATCATATCGTATTAGTAGTTTTCTTTTTGTCACTGGGTCCAACACAATTCAATGTTCAAAATGTTACAACGCAAAAATTTATGTTCGGTAATATAAAAATTATATTTTAAATCTTAATTTAATTATATCTTAAAAATTACATTTTTCCATCTCTGTTAACCTTTCTGTAAACATGTGTCATATATATATATATATATATATACACACACATGTATAGTTTTCACTCGTACGTCTACGACAAGGAATCATTTTCGTATTTTATAAAATTATTAATAATGTTTACCCGTAATTTGGAGTCTGTCATATTGCATAGCTTTCAAATTGTATACATGCATCAAAAGTAGAGGTTAGCGTATACGGAAGTGCACCATTCGGTATTTTTCAATTACACCGCATTACACTTTCTGCTCTTATTGAGCAAACTTACTTTCAGTAATTATATATGTATGTACATTTTTTCACAGGATCACGAAAGATATACATACACACAATGAAATATTATAATTTATTTTTTTAGGAAACTGACAAAAACTTAAGTAAAGACTAAATCACGAGATCTCATAAAAATGTTTGTTACATTTACAGATGCATATGTATTTAACTTAAAAGATATAAGTTTAATTCTTTTTTAACAAAATTATCATTTCTTGTCAAATTTCTTGCAAAATTAAATCATTATGCCTAAAAAGTTAACTTAATAGAGATCATATTATCTTTTGTAAATCCGTGAAGGTATTAGATTTATTTTTTCATTGTAATACCAAACATAAAGTGTATTTGAGATTACCCTGACCAAATATTTTGATATTACAATGATATTATTTCTTAGATAAAAATAAATGTTTCTAGAAAATCAAATTATCCCAGTTAGCATAAAATTATCAAACAGTTAAAGGTCACTGAGGTCTACAGCTTCCACTTGTGCATTAAGATTTGTAACATTTTCGTTGCTTTCATCAGCTTCTGATTCTTCCTTTCTTGGAATATCTAATTCTGACCACGAGCCAGGCTCAGCTTTTCTTAATTTGATTTCTACTTTAGTTGGTAACATATTCACACTACTTTGTTTAACATCAACAATCTGAAAAAGGAAGATCGTGTTAATATTAACAATTCTCAATTATTAGGATCAATTCTTAATTAATACATACTCCTCTCAAAGCTATATCAAGATTATATCTTGAATTTTCTTCTATAAAGAACAAATCTACAGTTAGACGGACAGGATTCAATTTGACAGCCGACTGACTGGGTAGATATTTCTTTGCATACACAGAAACAACTACAAATGTGCCTGTTTGATGCCAATCCATCCTACATTGTACTTTTTTTCCTATATCCTGAAACAACATATATTTAAAACTGTGATTATTGAAAAATAATAGTAATCAAGGCACAATATTCTATCTGTGAATGATTTACCTTAGAAAACCATACATGTTTTCCCAGAGAGCAACCTCGTTGTTCCAGAAACACAGAAAATTCCGTTGTCTTCTTCTGACAACAGGACCAGTATTTCAATCCCTCGTGAAAAATTGGTACTCCAGGATGGAAAATGCAAACTTCCTCATTGGAATCCTCACCGTTGTAAGTAACTTTGCAGGAATTATTTTTACAATTTTGTCCTATTTGTATTTCACCTAGTATTGGCTTGTTTTCTAAAGCTGTCAATCCTTTGACTTGTTCCAACAGAGTTGGAGATATTGTGGGTGACAACTGTAGCTGAGGTGTATCAAAAGAAGGCCTGTTCAATGTCGAATCATTAATTGCTGATTTGGAGACAACTTCTATTATTTCATGAGCTTTAGATTTATCAATGGATTGTTTCTCTGGCTCTGGTGGTTTTTCATCTGAATGCGTGGCCTTTGTACAACCCTTAATGTTTAAGAATTCTGTAAAATCTATACATTTCTTATTGCAACAAGACCAGCCTTTATACGCATCATGGAACACAGGTTGACCCGGATGATGAACACAATCGTCTGCAACACAACCAGAAAGATATACTCTTTCCCATGTATATTATTAATACTTAAATTATTAATAATCAATCAAAACTTAAGGGGTCTAATAGAACATACCGTCCTTATTATCATTGGGATCGAATTTCTTTCCGCAACCACGACGATAACAATGCAACAAAACCATTTTCTGTGACATTTCGAGTTCTCACAATTATTATTATATACACGTGCCCCAATGAGTCTTGGAATATCAATTCGACACGAATATTCTTGTGCGTGAAACGTTTTCTCTCACGATACTTTTCCGCGGTTCCAACAGACCACGTTTTGACACGTTCTAGCACTTTCCACACTTCCGAATTCGAACGCGAACGGGAAGCAATGGAAGTAACACACCGCTTTTTTGACACACCAGCAAGATTACTCGTTTGTTAGTTACACTTTTTACGTTGAAAGCAAGATAAGTATATATTTAAATTTAATATCAAGATGGGTAAGAAAAATAACAAAGTGCAGGAAGTGCGACCAAAGCGAGCAGCGTGTTCTATCAGTTCCAAAGGCCCACTATGAGCCGCCACTGTTTCTGTCAAATGAAGGTCATGATGTGACTCAAAGGTAAGGCAGACAAACATTATTTATTTATCGCATTTTATTTATTATAATTGAAAGGAGAAGCTGAACCATGTTATATAACTAGGTCGCAATTAAGATTTAAACCTATTTTTGGTTGAACATAGGTTCATAATAAATTAAGTTGAATCGTCCCTTTTTTTTTTTTTGGTCACGCAAGGAAATCCTCATGGATATCCCTGCCCCTTGGGGAGGGCGGGGGTTATGTCGGACTTCTACCGACTAAAACCCCTGCGGGGTGCCTACCGCTCGGACCGTGATGAGGGGAGCCAGGGAAACTACGCCTGCATTCCCTCCCCGAAAGTTGAATCGTCCCTAGCAGGGACGATTACCAGAGAGAAATCTGAGAGCGGCCAACACGACATTTTCTGCGACACCGACTTTCCGCACTGGGAAAGGACGCCATCTACATTCATTTTGAGAGGGGAACTACGATAGTACATTCACCTTCAGGTCTCGATGGTAAAATCTGCATGTGGTGGAAAACCATGCTACATCCATTTTCAGGCGGTTTATGTCCGTGCTGCAACCACAGTTGCCATCTCTATGCCAGACTATGCCCGGTGGTCTAAAAAGAGCGGGGGGGGGGAGAGGAGAGGAGCAGAAAAAATAAAAGTACGTATTAAATGTTAAATCTTCGAATATATATTGCCGTATCAAAGTCTCTTCTATAATAAACAATTTGACATGTATGGAGACGCATGATGTATTGTTGCCCGTGTAGCGTTCACTTCGTCCGGTTTCTTAATTCAGCATCCCGTCCGCTCCGGACATTCGCTCGTGGCACTGACAGTGGCCGTCGGTGAGCATTCGATCCGCTCGGAGGAGCACGTGTTAATTAACGCGACGAGACTCCGATTATAAATATCCCGCGAGTCGACGAAATATTTGAACTTTTAAAAAAAGCATCAAAGAAAATGACGTTGATGCTGTCATGGGTAAAATCTCACCCTGGTATATATTTTTTTATTTTCGAAATAAAAAAAGCCAAACGAATGCAATTAAATGTTATTTATCATCATTGAATATTAGATGAAAAGTAGAAGAGTTATTGTCCGCAGCGGATAATCTCCCTGTATAAAATGTCGAACTGAAACATATTAAAAAGTATTGACATTTTGAATACGTCTGAATTCTGCTTTCTGATCGGAAGAAAGGGACTAAAAAGTATCAATTCCCATTAAATTACACCGCGCTAAATGCGAGATGGCAGTGGTGAATGCTTCGCATTAATTAGGATTCAATTCATTTCAAATATGCCTTGTATTCAATCGCAATCGATAATTTTCAAATGCGAACTTTCGTATTGAAAAGTATTCTTCTTCTCTTAATTGTTTTCGGATTCAGAGGCATACAAGATTTTCACGCTCTATTCCCCGTCGCATTGAAAAGTATTGGCCCGCGATCCAATCTGAAATTCCCGCAAAGCAGAATTTACGACAAAGTCTCGTGAATGCGAAACAATACTTTTAAATACGACATTTTATACACGACTAACATTTAATAAGAACGAGACAAAATTCGCATGGGATGAAATTCCACTCTTTAACGCTATCATGACCTTTAATTATTCTCCGCAAACGGCGTCAAAGCAACTTTGATATTCTATACAATTAGTTGCTAACACATTTTCTAATCGTACACATTCCTCTTTAATTAACATAAAGCTAACAAATGTCCTACGCTTTGACAGAGTAATTTTCTTTATTTTCAGTAATCAATAAATAGAATGCATCAATGTCGCAATTGAAAGGCCTCCTCGCATTCCCCTCGTCGCTCTGGAACCTTCGAGAAAAGAAGATACGCTCAAAGGCAAGTCTCCCTTGCTTCAACCGCCGCCGAGGCCCACAATGTTTACATCGCGCCGATTGTGTTGATCGGCTCGCGAGCGACGACACTTTTTGCCCTACGTATTATAATATTCGCGCACCTCGTGTATTCGACCTCATTCCATCAACAGCAGCCGTGCGCGACGCGCTCGTCACATCCGTCTCGTGTAATTAAAAGAAATATATCTCGTTGGTCCTCAAGATACTCAATCGACATCACGTCGGCATCGCGTTCATTAATCGCACGGTCGAATCGCGAGTATCGGCATTAGAAGTGTGAGCGAGTGAAATCTGGAGGACTTCAGCAGTCGGGAAGCAGAACGCCGGCAGCGATCCAAGTACGTCACGTTTCCAAGTATGTGGAATCATTTATTATGCGGGAGGTCTCCGATAACGAGAGCGGACGTTTGACGAATTTTCCGGGAATAAGAAGTCGGAATTTCGCGCTCGACATTCACAATCCGTCATCATCCGACTAGTAATCATCACTTTATGAATTTGCAATTACTCTCGTCAATCTCTGTCTGTCTATCTATTTATTGCGTTGTTGTATACAAAAGATATTGATCCAGACAGAGACGGATAACGGTCCATGAACGCGGATCTCTAATTCATCATATTCTTAATCAAATATTCTGAATAATTCCCAACTATATAAGTATACCGGTCTTGTGTAGAATATTAACGTCATACCTTCCTTTTAGACTTTTTTGTTTACGGTCAGCGTTTCTTTCAAGTCTGTTTACTCTCGTTACAGAATCTAAATTTAAGTGTCCATTCGTAAAAAAGTATTTTCGAGAGCACACAACTGTTGTTTCCGCTTCTTGTTGGTATTTTTTTTCGTCAGCTCTTTCAAAAGCTCCTATCTAGACTTTCAATGTCAATGAGGAAAAAAAATCGTAGCGAATATTCTCTACTCATCCCGACCAAACATTCTTTCTCTATCGCAGCTTACCAACCAGGAACGCTAAATTTTTGTTCCAGACGTTGCGGGAAGCAAGTCCGACGGACGCGGATGCTGCACCGGAGGATCCGGTTCGGGTAGACCAGGGTCGACCGGAAGGTAAAGCTTACAAGTTTCCTACACATCTGTGTTCAACTCTTTACAATCTTTGCCTTTGCAACTTGTTCCTCATCAGCTTTCTTGAAAGCTTCATGTCTCATTTAAATTTTCAATGTTGGAACAAAAATATTGAGATAAAAATCCCATATCAAAATATTTCCGTATTTTCGATTCGTCCCAATCAAAGATATTTTCTCTCTACCGCAGGTTATTAACCGGGAAAATTATTCTTTTGTTTCAGTTGTTACGGAAAGCAACAGCAATCCGGTGGACGCGGATGCCGCACCGGAGGGTCCGCTTCGGGCCAAGCAGAGTCGGCTTGAAGGTAAGTTCACAAGTTTACTACAGTCCTCTGTTTGACCCTTGACGATCTAGAGCTGGGATATAATTTCCAGCTCGATTTGAATTACGATCGCAGAGGGTAAACTACATTTTTACTCGTCCGCACTCGTTGGTCTGATCTGATGAGCGAATGTGAATTTTTTGTTACAGAGTTGAAGCGGAACCTGGCCGGCTCTGACTGCAAGTCGTTTCGGTGAATAAATGCAAAATGAAAGGATAAACAAAATTCCGCATGACGGATGTGGGACTATGGGAGATAAAATATCGTTCGAATCAGTGCGAATTGCAAATAGATTTTGCATGTGTATGTTTGTGACGTTGAAATACATTGCTCGAAACAATCAGGGGATGCCTTTGAATATCGCGACCGCGGTTATCAATATACGCGTTTTTATCGGCGCTGCTAACAAAGAAAGCTTAAATTCTCATTTCACCAAAGTATCGCGAGCGCAAGCTTCGTCGTGACGGAACTATTGTTACGTCCTGCGGACTCCGCGTACTTTGAATTTGTTGTCAAGTAGGGCGGATTGCATTTTATATTATACGACCAAATGTTCATATTCCGCGACCCTCCGAGAACAGTGACGTTACACACACAGATTTCTCTTTTTTTTTCTCTCTGCTTTAATCACCAGAGTTTTCTCTATTTCCGTCGGAAAAGATCCGCTGAGTCATTTTGGCCATATATCTCCTCTCCAAATAACCTTAAATAACTTTCCGTTCGGAGCAATAATTTTCTTTGAAGACGGACCGACCAGACAATTTTTCATGCTGTTATATGATATTACTAGCCTTTGATCTTCGGAAACTCATGCTTTCCCATGTTATTTATAAATTCTTATCGCGCACAACCTCTGACTAACCCCAGCGGAACTTCGAAATCTTTTACTGCCATAGATACCCGATCCTTTATCATATTTATCTAAGAACCCCACTAAAACCCCATCTCCGAAAAGTTTGCAATAAAATCCTATACCCATATTTGGACATAAACTTTGGAGCCTGACGCAACTTCCCAAACCCCACCTCTCGACTGAGGTGACGTTTTTGATAAAATGAAAAGGCTATGTCACTTCTACTTCTCCTCCCGACCGACCCGCAGCCAGGACAAAGTCTTCTCTCCAACACCCCTTCAGGGTCTCTTAATAACCAACCCTACTAGTGAGGCAGATCAGAGTTCTTCAGTTGTCAATTCTTCTGTGCAACGATTTCGTGCATCCTTGAGACATTGCGAGAGATCCTGCTGAGACCAGTTTCTAGTTCTTGGCACAACCGGATTCATCCTCACCGACACATAGCAATTACACTTTTCATAGTCGACTCGCATCATAGAACCAGCAGTAAGTTATTTATATTTTCCTTTGTCAGAGTGACCCCTTTCTTTTTATTCTCTTATCTTTTCTTCTCTCTTTTCTTTACCCTCCTGTTTCCTTTTTCTCCCTATTCCCCTTGGCATCCCTCCTTAATTCTTAAATCCGATTTCAGTGGCTCAATCTTCTCAATTACAGTTAGAGATAACCACCACGGAAACTGTACAAACCGCGAGGATTTTGAGGTCGCCTCTTTAATATTTGTATTACAAGATCGTCCAGATTACGTTATCCGCCATAGCGAATCGAACATTTTAAGATCTGCGCATTTTCCTCTTATGTTCCTTCCTGACTCTCCCCCAGTAACTCCTCCTATCTCATACTCTCCAACATCCTTGAGTCCAGTAGACGACCGTTCTGCCTCAAGCTCTCCTCTATCTTGGAGCCCAACCCTGACATCTTCCCCTCTAACTTCTCCTCTACGAGGAGGCATGCGAGGCTTCCACGCGGCCTTACTACGGGGCCTCATACCTATTCGTTCTCCCTCTCCCTCAGAAATATCCTCATCGCGATCTTCCCCCTCACCTCGTGCCTCTCCGTCACTAG